AAAGCAAACGGGAGAAGAAGAGAAGATGGCTCCGGACGGACAAAAGACGCCGCCCGTGTCCGAGTGGTCATCGAGATACCGCGGGGTAAATGATTCCATCACCTTGCAGCTCCGTTGATAGCTTCGACATGATGCTACTGACGGATGGACCGACCTACGACTGACAAGCTGATGATATATATATATATATATATGTGTGTGTGTGTGTATAGGCCACGGTTGAGGATCTCGACCCTCCACCTGCCCTGTCGCTCAACCCTACCGACGCCATCTCCGTCGCCCTCATGTCGGCCTTTGAGCGCGACTACACGCACCTGACCGTTGTCGACGGCGAGACGCGCTCCCTTCTGGGCTACATCTCCATCCCGCGCCTGCAGTCCCTCCTGGATGCCGGCACCGTCCAGCCCTCCGACCCGCTCTCCTCGGCGATGATGCGCTTCCAGCGCAGGGGCAGGAAGTATCAGATCATCACCACGGCCACGACGCTCGAGGACCTGGAGGCCTTCTTCCGAGGCGACGGCGGCGAGTCCAAGCCCGACCCCGACGCCGCGGCGCCCTGGAGCCAAGATTTCGCCGTCGTTACCGATGAGAATAGGAGATTCGTCCTGGGCGTGGCTACCGTTTCCGACCTGGAGGAGTTTGTCAAGAGGAGGCCTGCGTAGTCCCGAGAAGTACTGAGAAGCGGAACACGCGAAATAGATGGCGTTTCAGAAGAACTGGCTGGACATGACGAAACAAGAGGGGGGACACGGATTGAAAATAGCGAGTCTTTGGGTTTATTTTTGTTTTATTTTTATCTTTATTTTTTTTTACAGAGCTTTGAGCAGCGTAGAAATATATTGGTATAGGCGCACACACACACACGCGCGCGCACACACACACACACACACATATATATATACAATCAATGAAAGCGCCTTTCCCCTCAGCCAACAGACATCCGCCGCGATGCCATCTGTTTAAACTCGGACGACCAGGCTAGCAGTTCATCCTGCACCTTCCTGTCCAGGGTCTCGTCTTGCGCGCGCGCAGCATAGTCGTCGCCCAGCAGGTCAAAAGACTTCGCATCGCCCGCTATGCCGCCCTTGAACCAGGCGTCCCGCCTGCCGGCCTCGTCAGGGGCCAGCCGCCCGATCCACCGCCACGCGTCCCGCTGGCCGGCCTCGGCGGCCGCGGTGAGCAGCTCCAGCGCCGCGCCGTCCTCGCCGAGGGCGTGCCTGGCCTGGCCCAGGGCCAGCTTGCACTGCGCGGCCCAGGCGAAGGCGTCGCCGCCGCCGATCTGCAGCGCCCGCTCGACGAGCCTGACGGCGGCGTTGGGCTTGCCCTGCGCCAGGAGCCAGAGGCCCTCGGTGGCGAGGGCGAACGGGTTCCGCCCCGCGCGCACAATGGCCCTGAAGCGCACGACGTTGGGGCGGAACAGCGGTCGGAAGGCCACGCCGCGCTGGTCGGCCATGATGAGCCGCACGAGCGAGACGCACGAGGCCTCGCACCCCAGCATGCTGGCCCCCGAAAACATGGCGTACACGACGGGCCCCCTGATGGGGTCGGCGCCGGGCTGCCGCGACGCCGGGCCGCCTAGCAGGGTGAGCTCGCTGGTGTAGCAGCCTAGATCGTTGAGGATCTCCTTGGACGGGCGGGATGCTTTGGAGAGAGTCAGTCTCTCTCTCCCTTGTGTATCACAATCATATTAGGGGGGGGAAAGGGTCGACGATTGGAAAGAAAAGTAAAGAAGATGAAGGAGAAAAAGAAGAAGAAGATGGAAAGAGGGAAGAAGAACAACAACAACTCACCCCCCTTTAGAACAAGTGGCCAGTCGGCACCGGATCTCGTAGATATAGCCGAGAAGTTGCGGAGCACATCGACGTATTCGTTTGGCTCGTGGCGGAGAAATGATGGACGGGACGCCTTGACCTTGCCCAGTGACTCGGCCGTGATGGAAGAGACGTGCACCTCACCCCAGACGTCGTTGCCGACTCTTGCGCCCGACCTGGGCGAGGTAGCGTAGCTGCGTGTGCATGCCCGAGCTGATGGCACTCTCACCATTGTTGTTGTCGCGGTCCTGCATGAGCACCGGAGCGGACACAGAAGTTTCGACGTCTTCATGACATACGTGGACATGTGTATATATGTACAGATGCTACACGTACTTGGGAATCTCAACCGATCCTTCTCTCAAGGACGTAGCATTGTTGGTGAAGCAGATTTCTCTCCCTCCTCCTTTTTTCTCATTTTATGTAAACCACAGAGTCGAAAGCAGCTGGTTTCAATGGTGAGAGGGATCTTTAGTGGGTCATCCGACACACTGACCAATCATGTGTGGCGTAGATCCTTCTCACCTCCAAGGTTTGCTGGATTTTTTCTGGGGGGTTTTTTTTTTTTTGAGATTTTCGAGATTGAACTACATACAAACCGACTTTTTTTCAACAACAGATAGCCATCCCTTGACTCTCGAGCCTTGATCATACGGCTCCTTTACTGCTACTACGCTATCCGTTCAATAAGAGGACGTCATAGTCCGAGAGGCAAGGAACTAGGGACGACAACGCCTGTGGCTCTGAATCTCAACAAGCCCATTGATATCACAATGGTAAAGAAGGCGGGGACGAGGAGAAAATCGACCGACGACATCTCCGGTGACGCCACCAAACTTCCCGTGAGGGCCAAGAGCAACGAGCCCTCGACAGCAGAGTCTCCGGCAGCAACCCCCAAAGCGTCACCGGCTCAGGGCACGCTCAAGGTGTTTGGTGACGACGACGACGACGACGATGTGATCCCGGTGGTCGCCCCCAAGCCCAGGCAGGCAGTCCAAGAGGTGGAGGTCGACGAGGATGAAGATTCAGATGACGATGCCGCACCAGAGGCCGTCTCGACTACAAAGGCAGCTTCCAGCGTCAAGCAGTCTACGGCGGCAGCACAAAAAGCGGCTCAAGAGTGAGCCCCCCCCTCTTCCTTCTTCCAGCTGTCAGATCCTTCTCCTCCATCTATGCGCGTTCCGGGAGGTTTCGACACACGGTGCTGATCATCCTGCACATCACAGACAAGCCGCAGCGCAGAAGCGCAAGAGGCAGCAGCGCGATGCGCTCTTCAAACAGCAGGCCGAGGAGCGCAAGGCAGCAGAGGAGGCCGTCAAGGCAAAGCTGGCAGAGGCCGTAGCCGCAGCCGCAGCCGACGAGGACGACCGGGAGTCTTCCGAAAGTGATGCTCATGAGAATCGGGAGGAGGAGGAGGGGCAGTCAGCAGGCAGGAAGAAGAGACAGAAGCGCGCGGTGGTGCCGACGAGCAAGCCCACGCCCAGCCTCCTACCGGCGGAGTTCCTGACGGATCCGTCTAGCGAGGACGAGGAGGACGGCAGCTACGGCTCAGACGACGGCTCTCGCCCGAAGCGCAGGAAGCTGCGGGTGGGCACGGTCGAACGCCAGCTCAAGCGTCTCGACCGTCCGGTCCGCGATCAGAGGGTCGGATCGACGGTCTACAGCGTGGCAAGGAAGTCCGATGACAGACTGGCTCCCAAGTTGAGAAAGTTTGCGCAGAGTGGCAAGAATGTCCTCCTCAAGAGGAACAGGACAGCTGTCAAGCCTAGGTCTGGGTTCCTGAGGACGTAACGTCTCTCAGACTCTTCTTTTCCTCTCTCCCTCTCTCTCTCTCTCTCCCCCTATCTCTCCCTCTCCCTCTCCCTCTCCCTCCCTCTCTCTCATACACCTCACACAAGACACAAGACGACATGAGGAGTGGGAAAGGAAAGAAGAGAGAAACTCGTTCGACATGCATGCTGAACCAATCGTCACCGTTGACCAACGCATTGAGACCGACAGTTGCGGAATCCCACAAACGTCCCGGCACCCGGGTTACCCACTACCATGGCACCGGAAGATGTAATGCCAGCGTGTGTGTGTGTGTGTGTGTGTGTATCGGCAAATGAACCATGAAAGGGGGGGAGGGGAGACAGGCAATGGGTTGAAAGACGTGAAACCTGACCCAGACGAGGGAGCGGGGAGGAGAGGGGCAAAACGGTGCAGGTCCCCTTGTTTTTCTCTGTCTTTCTCTCCGTTTCCCCTCTGCTGAACGGCTGCAGCAGTATGCATGCACGGGTTATTCACGCACGCCACACACATGTTGTATCTCACGATGGCGTTTGTCTTATACGTTGGGTACCTTTCTTTTCTTTTCTTTTCTTTTTTTTTTAAAAAAAAAATCAATATTATTTTATCTTGTAGTCATCTTCTATATTCTATGTGCCTCATCCTGCCCACAGTTGAGGAAACAGTATATGCAGCCAAGATACGTACGTCTACATGATGCACTTCCACATCACTTATCATGAAACGTTGATCTTGCCACTGCTTCTTCCCGCCAAGGCGATAGATAGTATGCAGACAGGATCAGCAAGTCCCAATGCTGCTTTTTCCTCTCCCCTCCTCTTGACGCGATGATCGGCTTAGCAGTCAGTCATTATCCTCTGCTAATAATAATACTTGCACGATGTAAAGTGATGAAAAAAGTGGTCATGAGAGACATGGAGCGGTTTGGTAATATTATCATGCATCTCTCCGAAGGGGAGGGAAGGGGATAGCGAGACCGGGGGGGGGGGGGGGGGGCATGCTAGTATCGACTATCCATGTTCTCCCCCATCTGGATTCAAGTCCAGGCTTATTACTGCTCCGGAGTCCGTACTCTCAAGGTGACAGGGTGAAATACCCGATAGTGATGAGATGGGAGTAGTGGACAGTATGGAAGTAATCTGTACTTTGTATCGTATGGGAATTCGGGAAGTGACATGAGACCGTCCCGTCACTCTCCCGTCACAATTGCAACGATACTCACTACCTTGATGGGGGAGGGGAGCAGAGTAAGGAACCATCCTCCCCCCCCCCCCCCCCCCTCTTTTTTTTTTTTTTTTTCCTATAGATCCACGGTCTCGTCAGGAGAGATCAAGGTGATACTGCTAGTAGTACCATCTTGTCCATGAGAATAAAGGGTACACAGAGAGGGGAAAGGGAAGGAAAAGGTGCGCACGCCGCGGGGCGGAGGCAGCGGGACAGCAGGGGGGGGTTTGGGGTTGGGGTTGGGGTTGGGGTTGGGGTTGGGGTTTCCGTGAAATGGGACATGTGAAACTCGGAAGCCTGCCCCGATGGTTGTGTTTCCCCACCTATATATATTTACGAGTATATATGACCAGGGCAGTTGAAGGGAGATATAATCTGTACATGGCTGTGTTTCTTTTCCGGGTGATGATGGTATGGGTGGTAGTAACCATATATCACTCTATCACCTTCTGGGTAGGTATTATGGAGACGGACTTTTCTCTTATTAATCCTGCCTTATTCTTCTTCTTCTTTCGTTATAGCTGTATCTGTACGGTATCACTGCCGGTTGATGGACCCGAGGTCGTGTTAGGTTGCAAAGTCTGCGATACAAGGTGAAACGGTTCCTGTCCGGGGTGTTGACTGGTGGTAGAATATTACTGCAACGCACGGAGCACGTCGGCTGGTGTGTATCACTGCTGGTACTACGGAGTGATACTCGTCGTACGTGAGATGGCTTTCTTGTAGAGACTTTTCATAGTTCCGGTGTGACGAGTGCTGCACAGATCACTTGCTCAGGCCTCGTCGTCTATCAGCCAACAGCTTGTAGCGGGAAAAGAGAGAAGAGAAGAGACGAGAAGAAAAAAGAAAAGAAGAGAGATCGAGAAATCAAACCAAGGTTGGCAAGAGAAATCAAGGTGGGAAAAAGAAAAGAAAAGAAGGGAGAGAAAGAGAGAGAGAGAGAGAGAAGAGAGGGGGGG